AATTATACTGCATGCACCATGACAGCCAGCAACAGGTTAGTTTGAGATGTGGAACTCACTTTGTAGCCCACATGCCCTGCTTTTACCACTCACCTGCCCCAGTCGTTACCTGGCTTCAAAAGCCATACCTCTGCGCTTTCTTTTCTCCTCTGTGGATCCATGTTTATAAAAACCTCTGCTTATTTATTTCCCTCTTCTGGAAACTTCTTTTTACCTCCTATGTCAGGAGCTTTCCCCCTTCTCCTTTTTCTTTTCTTTTTTTTTTTTAACAGATTTTTATTATAACTTTAATTTAAATATGCGTGTGTGTGTGTGTGTGTGTGTACAGACGCACACATATCTATGGAGGTCAGAGGCATTAAATTCTCTGGAGATGGAGTTACAAGTGGTGGTGCGCCACCTGCATGGATGTGCTTGGAAATCAACTCAGGTCTTCTGCAAGAGCAGTAAGTGCTCTTCCATAGTACAGAGTGTCTCTGTGTGTGGATTGTAATGTTTCTGTCCTATTGTTGGATTCCTAAGTTATGTATGTATATATGTATGTATGTATGTATGTATGTATGTATGTATGTATGTGTTTATTTTCTAGGTGGAGACATAGGGAGACCCCTTTGTCACTCTGAATAAGTCCAGGTTGGCCTTGAATTTGTAACTATTGTCCTGGCTCTGCTTCTGGGTGCAGGGGTTGCATCAGAGTCCAGCCAGGCCTGGCTAATCTCCCTTGAGCTCACCCATATCTTCTGCCATCTTCACTCTTGTTGACACGATGTCCTGCCTAAACTTGTCCACACTTCCTTGCCTGAAGCAGCACGTGGAGTCCTGACATTAGCCCTACCACTATTGTCAAGCTTTCTTCTATGACTCCATGCCCACAAGGATGTTTCCTGGTTCAGGACCCCCAAGGCACTCATGCCTGGGGCACTCCTGCTTGCACCCCCCCCCCCAGCCTGGAGCCATGACTGCTGTTGTCATAAGATGGCTAGCCTTTGGTTCATTGTGATGCTGATGAGGTAGCGTCCCTGACGTTCTAAAAGATTGTTTGGTGTAACTGCTTCAGGCCAGGGATTGTCTCTTCCCCTTTCCTAGAATATTTTGAGTCAGAATTCAAATACTGTACAGTTGAAGCTGCAGTATGCCTGGCCTATAACTTGGTCTAAGGCATTCATATTTGCCATTTTCATCTGCTTAGTATACTAACAAGGTGGAAAAAGCAATCCCAGTCCCTCCAAAAGGTAAAACTCTATTTTTTTTTTAAAAGTGTTTTAAAGCTGGGGTGGATGAGCTGCACTGTGTAAACATACACCGCTTTTTGCGGAGTATCATGGAGAATACACTGAAATCCAAAATTAAATAAAACATTTCTTCTGAACAAGGGACAGGAGACAGTGCAATCAGGATATTAAATTGTTTTCTCAGGAATACATTGTTTGAAATAATACAAAAATGAAGTCTTTAAACTATTGAAATTACATATCTGTCAGCACAAAAGAAACGAAAGAGACATCTGTTGTGTCTCTAAAGTTCTTGAATCGACATGATGTGCATGTCGTCTAGTCCTCCTGGAGAACTCATTTACTGTGTTAATGTCTGAGTAGCTTTTTAAAATGTGTGTCTTCAAGTAGAAATGAAAAACTAAAAAAGACTAAAGATTCGAAGTGTTCTATGGGACTAAATACCTTGTATGTTTCCATTGATCCAGATTCTAACAGGGATACACAGTGAATATGAAAGTCACTTTTAATTAGATAATCTTACCCTCAGGCACTGTGTGCTCACTTACCAGAAGTTACTTTTGGTCTTTCTGGTGTCTTCTCTAGGGTTCAGTATCATTTGATAGTTCTGAGTACAGAAATGGAATATCCTGTGGATATTTTCCCAAATTGAGTGAGGACTTTCTGTGATCAACTGACTAGAGATGTTTCTGCTGTCGCGTGTTCTTTAAGCACTGCCCTGCAGACTGCTCCTTGCTTTCCCTGTCGGCTCATTCAGAAGCTATTTATCTATTTTTTTCCACTGTCTCTTGCAAGCCCCCGCCCCCGTAGCTGGATACCAGCTCAGCCCCCACACATTCAGGCGTATTTATTCCCGTAAAGATAGTGACACTTGGGGTTTATTCTAAGACTAAATCCTCGCTGCCCAGTGACTAAGGACCTAAGCATGCACACTGCCTCTATGCTTACCCTCCTAACCAGCCTGTCTACTGTCTACTCAACAATTTTCTTTCTTTTCCCTCAGAATCAGTCCCCTGTTTTGGCACATCTCAGTTCACACACTACTGCCAGGCCACTAATTGATTTCTGAAACCTGACATTTGTCTTTTTTGTTTTCTCCCATCTTCCCTAATGGTACAGGACTACTCAGCAGGGAGGAATGCAAAGAACTAGAAAGTTCAAAGTAATTGAGGATCTGTCCATTCACACTGGCTGGCGGCACGCCAGTGTAGAACCTGGAAAAATCTGAAAAATATTTATCGAGTTTTAACCCTTTTGTGGAAGCCGAGTGGACAAGTTGTGAGCAGCAGTGTTTGTCTTGGTTAAACATGGTCTCTGTGTGCTTAGAACAGCATGGTACACACCTCAGAAAAGGGTTGCATTCCAACTTCCATATGATGATACACAGCTAAGCTAGTTATTTTCTGGGAGACTGAAAAACTAAGGATTTGAGAGAAACTATTGCTTACTTAAAAGTGGAGGTGGCCCGATTGCCCAATCTTTATCCATAAATTGCATTTAAATAAATGCCACCATTTCAAGCAAAAAGTAGATATTCAAGTATTTTTAAAACTGGATAATGGATCAGCTATGGAAACCAGGCTGCGGCAGGCTCATATATACATTCTTAAGAAGAAGAGGAAAATAATAGTGACAAGGCTGTAAAAATATGTTCTTCAGTGCTTGTCAGATAGTTTGGTGGGGTCTTGATTTGCTGCAGTTGAAATCTTCTTGAGGGGAAGCATTGTCAGAAGCTGTTGTGAAATTCAGAAAGATTTCCATTAAAATAAAGGGGTCTCATTGCAGTAAAATGTCATGCCCCACTGATGCTCTGGCATTGATAGGCTTAAAAGCCAATCGAAATAAAGAGAAGTTCAAAGACATATTATTACCTTGAAATTGTATTGAGAGTAAAGAGTTAAAGAAAGGAAACAGTCTATTAAGAGCCATCAATACCCTACACCTTGGTTTGGTTATATTATCAGCATTAAGTAGCCAAAGGACTTCTAAAAAAAAAAATCACCTCTCTTTAAAAAGTTAAAATCCAACAACAGTTATATGACTTGTCTCAGAGTTATTTGAGCGCATGATTGGGTTTAATAACAGAGAAAATGAGGCCCAAGTTTTTAAAGATGAAGGTTGGCAACATGAGGTTGTTCACTTAGAACATAAGTACACAGATACTTATTAAACAACACCCTGGTATCATGAAAGTCGTCATCACCCGTCCTCTGAAAGTGGCAACCACAACTGTAAAAGTGGACCATTGCTAACAGGGAGGAAAAGGGAGAAAAGAAACTGAGTTCGCAATATGATTTTATCTTTGCTTAAAAAACAAACAAACAAACAAAAACCCAGCACGTGAGACTTTCTGCGAACATTGGAAACGAGACTCATACCTGTGATACACTCTTTGAGGTACACTTTTTTTCCCTAAGAACTTTTAAAAAGATGCTTCACTGTAAAGGGGCCAGTGTGCTCTCTGTAGGTACTATTGTATAATGTGCTGCCAACAGACATACATAGATAGCAATACTACAGGCGTCTTTTTAAGTCGCAGTTTATTGTTTCAGCCTCTCAATAAGCCAGATAAAATCATATACAAGAACATTAAGGATTAAGGAAAGTAGTTTCCTTTGGTGATTACTGGCAAAAAGAAAAAAAAAAAATAAGAACAAAACAAAACCACTCACCCTCCATTAAAACAACGCAGTAAAAAGGTGGTAATCGAGTTGGCTGTTGCTTTCCTACAAATTTGGATTCCCAGTTTTAGGGCCGTTGAGTGTCTGTGAATATTTGTGGCTTTTTTGGTTCCCGTTTCGTAGGAAAAGGTGCCAGTGTATTAGGTAGATGGGCCATACTTCTCTTCTGAAAATATTAAAACTCCATTTGCCCCCCTCCGGAGACTACAGTGTTAGCAAAAATAAGCCAAAGATGTAATGTCTATTTAAATACCCAGTTGGGCTGGCTGTTAGTTCTCAAATTAGATTCCACGCTCGGGCTAGCATCAACACGGTTTAAACATTAAAAACTTCATAATTCATATGGCCCACCCCACCTTTTCCCCACGTTCGGCGAAGTAGAAATGTCTGTTTGTGAAAACTTCTAGCTCCTTAAATACTGTAGGGGGAAATGTGCACAGGTTGGTATGCAAGGACTTGAAAAAATGCTTGACATTACAGATTTTATTCAGGCCATAAGGAATCTGCTAAAGGATAGATCTACGGCTGAAAACACAGAAATGAGAGCTGTTTTGCATTTGTTACCGCACCGCCCCTTGTTTTCCTCTAAAGTACATTTTGTATACTTAAAAAAAATACACTCATTGGACAAGACTGGAAAGCTCATCTCCCCCACCTAGCTGCCTTCTGTCTTCAGCTTTCGAGTTTCAGGTCCTTGCACAACACCTAAGACGTGCAATACTTTTTTTCGTCCTAATCCTGGCAGAGAACAGTTCAGAGAGATCTCCCTCCGCGTCTCCACCCCGATTTCCCCCTCTTCCTAGATTCCACCCGCTCCTCTCCTTCCCTCCGCCCCGTGCTCCGCCAGCCCAATCTGTCAGAGAAGTTGTGTACAAACTGCGCCGCAGCCCTGCGCGCGAAGCTCCTGGCCCGCGAGGGGTGCGGTCGGCCCGTCGGAGGCGGGACCTCGTGGGGCTTCTTTCCCACTGGCTAGTCTCTGGCCACGGGGCCTTACCATTGGCCACAAAGCTGCCAGTCGGGTGAAGTGGCCCTGCCTCCCTGGAGTTGGGTGAAATAGAGGCGGGCGTCAAGTGTCAGTAGTCGCGGGGCAGGTACGCGCCCTCTTAGCTTGCTGGTGGAGCTTGGAGGTGGCGGGAGCGGGTTCCGGCGAGAGAGCAAGCGGGCGCTGGGGCGGGGCGGGAGAAAGTGGTGGCCGGAGGACCTCGGCAGTGACGCGTGGCCGAGCCCAGGAGCTCCGATCTTCGTGCCCGCCTTCGTGAGCGTCTGGCTGCCGGCCCAGGGGTCCCCCGCCGCGGCCCCGCGCCGAGTCCGCCGTCCCGTGCCATCCCGGGCGAGGTGGGAATCGGCGATCGCCCCGTACCCCGCTCTCGTAGTCCCCAGACCGTCCATGCCCACGCGGGTGCTGACCATGAGCGCCCGCCTGGGACCAGTGCCCCAGCCGCCGGCCGCGCAGGACGAGCCCGTGTTCGCGCAGCTCAAGCCGGTGCTGGGCGCTGCGAACCCGGCCCGCGATGCGGCGCTCTTCCCCGGAGAGGATCTGAAACACGCGCACCACCACCCGCCTGCGCCGCCGCCAGCCGCCGGCCCGCGACTGCCCTCCGAGGAGCTGGTCCAGGTAGGCAGAGCGGCCGGCCTCCCTTCCCCGGCTCGGGTGTGTCTCGGCGCTGCGAGGCGCGAGCGACAGGGGCCGCTCCAGGCTGGGACGCGCGGGAACGGGTGCCCTGGTGGGCAGCCCCGCCCTGCGCTCCCAGACGGGGCGCCGCGAAGTGGATGGGGGAGCAGGGCGGGGGCCCACACGGATCTGTCCAGAGGAGGCTAAAGAGAGCCGCGCGCTCACGTGCACCTTCTCTTTCCTTGCGTGGGGATGGGAGCTTGTACCCACGCTCAACTTGGCTTAAATTGCTTCTTGACCACTCTGTCCGGATGGATCTGGCCTTGGAAGTCCACCTGCCTGCGTCCCCTGGGATGAAATAGAAATGTAGATTGGAGTACTGGGGTTTCACATACCCCGGTGGCTCACCCTAGAATAGACTGTAGGGCCCCGTTTCTGAAACTAGAATCTTAAGGTTGTATTGGAACACCGCTTTTTTCCTTAAAAAGAAACACGGACAAAAAAGGCCAGGGGTGTTGTTTTTCTTCGTGTGCGCGTAAATTTCCTCCCGGAGCCGCGTTGAAAGCTGGCAGTTGGCTTTTACACTTGCCCAGCAGCCGAATTAGAGCAAGCGCCTGTTTCTCTCGCCCACGCACGGGAGTCATATAGCCTAGAAAAAAACTTCCCGGGACTTTTAGCTAGTCCCAAGGAAAAAAAAAATTGGAAACAGACCTACATGCAAACAGCTGGAAGAGCTAAAATCAGAAACCACTAACCGCCACGGGAGCGCAGTGCACGAAAGGGTTTAGTTCGGTTTATTTCAAGACGCTTAGTTTAATAGCCTATTGCTGTATTGTGTATTTGCTCCCAGCGCCTATTTCTTGGGGTCTGCCAGTGTCATGGTGCTTTGAGAGGACAGTGGCATTTTGTCAGATGTGACTCACATGGCTACAGCATGAATCTTTATTTTTAAGTCCTGCATATCCGGGAAATCCCGTCCGTCCTCGTCCACATCCAGATCTTGATGATCTGAGGTCCGAGGTGACATTCTTTTGAAAATTAAAAGCAAAAATATGACTCCTATTCACCGATTAAGGTGCAGTGGTTTTTCTGTTTTATGAACTATTTCATTTAGTTGGGGTTTGATCTTTTTCTAACTTTTCAATGTCAAAAAAGAAAAGAGAAAAATTAAAGCTTTCGTTATATTAGGAGAGGAGAGAGCTAGGGAAAAGATAGGCGGCTGGGTCAGTAGCTGGATTGTATATGTTCTTAAACAATCAGGGCCTGGAAGATATTTGATTATTTCACTTTGGTAGTTTTCTCTCAGGAGATAGCAAGATGACTGCGCTTTTTACAGAGGAAGGGGGAATGTAGCATTGGCCCACGGAGAGGACATGATAAATGTTTTGCTGATGACTGTGCTGGCAATGCAGCAGCCTCTCCCCACCCACGGGAGTCTTAGCACCCGTCTACCAAGGGAGTGATTTCTCTCCTTGATAATTAAAGATCTGTCTTAGATAGGAATATGAATAGGTTCATTTCATTATTATAGTAACCAATTACCGAATCTGCCGGTTAAAATGAGCATCTAGATCAAATGTTGAGGGTACAATTGTTTTGTATCAGTGGATACAGGCTTTTGCTTCAAATGTTCCAAGTTTTTATTAAAAAAATACTGAAATGGGCAAAGAACATTTTGTGTTAGGTACCTGAGATAACCTAACTATGCCCACATAAAACCCCTTCGAAATAATTATTCTTAAAATGTGCAAAGGTTTTAGTTAAGTAGAGCATGTTTTAAGTGTAATGTATGTGAACAGATTTGAGGCAGTTTGGCAAAACTCTGATACTATACTTTAACTGAAGATTTACCCTTCTTCCACTGGGGTGAGACTTGATTACACCAGAAAAGAATTATGTTTTAATACCCTCCCCCTACTCCCATTAGCCTCTTTCACTTTTTGTCTGAAGATGATTTGGGGGAGTGATTTTACTAAAGACATGTCATAGAGACTTTTGGTTAACCAATAATTACAAAATTGACAGAATAAACTTGTGTGTTTATAAGCAACACTTAGGAGTCGGCCTGGCGCTCCTGGTTTTAGTAGGCCATATTTATTTATCCTTCCTGACCGGATCGGGTAGATTATGTGTATTCTTCTTTTCTTTTTTAGACAAGATGTGAAATGGAGAAGTATCTGACACCTCAGCTTCCTCCAGTTCCGATCATTTCAGATCATAAAAAGTATAGACGAGACAGTGCCTCAGTGGTAGACCAGTTCTTCACAGACACTGAAGGCTTTCCTTACAGCATCAACATGAACGTCTTCCTCCCTGACATCAGTCAACTGAGAACTGGCCTCTACAAATCCCAGAGACCGTGCGTAACACAGATCAAGACAGAACCTGTTACCATTTTCAGCCACCAGAGCGAGTCGACCGCCCCTCCTCCGGCCCCCACCCAGGCCCTCCCTGAGTTCACTAGTATATTCAGCTCGCACCAGACCACAGCGCCTGAGGTGAACAATATCTTCATCAAACAGGAACTTCCTATACCAGATCTTCATCTTTCTGTCCCTCCCCAGCAGGGCCACCTGTACCAGCTTTTGAATACACCGGATCTAGACATGCCCAGTTCGACAAACCAGACAGCAGTAATGGACACCCTTAATGTTTCTATGGCAGGCCTTAACACACACCCCTCTGCTGTTCCGCAGACGTCAATGAAACAGTTCCAGGGCATGCCCTCTTGCACGTACACCATGCCAAGTCAGTTTCTTCCTCAGCAGGCCACCTACTTTCCCCCATCGCCACCGAGCTCAGAGCCTGGAAGTCCCGATAGACAAGCTGAGATGCTCCAGAATTTAACCCCACCTCCGTCCTATGCTGCTACAATTGCTTCGAAACTGGCGATCCACAATCCAAATTTACCTGCCACTCTGCCAGTTAATTCGCCAAATATGCAACCTGTCAGATACAACAGGAGGAGTAACCCGGATCTGGAGAAGAGACGCATCCACTTCTGTGATTATAATGGTATGTGGTCTGTGTGCTCAGAGGATCAGAAGTGTTTCATGATCCCAGGTGCTCCCGAGTCTCACATTTGCTCCCTTTTGAACTTTAGGTGTGAAAATACATAGGGCGTACCTACCCGACAGTTAACTCACCCATTTTTTTTCTAAATATTTTTGTGTTTTCCGCTGGTGTATAATGGCTAGCCAGCCATAGCAGTTCATGCCTTTAATCTTAGCGATGAGACTGAGACAGGAAGATTACATTTTCAAACTAGCCTGGGCTACATAGTGAGATCCTATCTCTTAAATAATTTCCGCTGGAGAGATGGCTCAGTGGTAAGAGCATGGACTGCTCTGCTAGAGGTCCTGAGTTCAATTCCCAGCAACCACATGGTGGCTCACAGCCATCAGTGAATGTGGTTCGATGCACTCTTCTAGTGTGTGTCTGAAGATAGCTGCAGTGTGTACACATATAAATAAAAAAATCTTTTGCCGGGCAGGGCAGTGGTGGCGCACGCCTTTAATCCCAGCACTTGGGAGGCAGAGGCAGATGGAGTTTGAGGCCAGCCTGGTCTACAGAGTGAGTTCCAGGACAGCTAGGACTACACAGAGAAACCCTGTCTCAAAAAACAACAAAAAAAAAACCAATTTCCATCTATTTATTCATTTACTTAATGGCTAGACCACTCTAGGGAATAATCTAATAACTTGGATTTCTTTCTCCTTAGTAGTAAATGAAACTTGGATTTCATTTAGTCTAATACATTGTAGCACCAAATTCTAAAGTCTCTGGAGATTAAGTAGGTTGATAGACAGTAGGTCTGCTCAGGTTGTAGGGATCCCGTGGCAGGCACAAGGCTGCTCATCGGAATGGATTTAAGAACAGTTGGTTCTGTTAGTAAGTGTATGCTCATTCTTGAATGAGATATGTGACCCAAAATATATTTGGACAGTAATAAGTATATCTCCAAGTTGCAGGCATAGGGAGTTTATGGTTAATTCGGGGCATCGTTGATTGCATGCGTGCCGTGTCATGCTAAATGGTAAAAACAAAAGTAGGAGTGTAGAAAATTATAGTCAGGCTATTGGCTTAACACTGTCAGTTCTACATCCGTTACATTAAATATACATACATACATACACACACACACACACACACACACACACACACACATATATATATATATATATATATATATATACGCTCTCATGCATGCGCGCACACAATAGCTCTCCATTCACTGAAGCACGTATTACAGTAAAAAGTGCCTATTGGAATATAAACACAGAATCTCCATTTGTCGCTTGTCTGGATTACCTGTGTTCTTTGCTCCCAAAAAGATACAGAGCAGATTACCTCTGCCTTCTAATAAGGTCAAGAGGGCGCCTTGAAACTTCTTAACCAAAGCTTCCAAATACTACGTGTAGCACAAGAGATTTCATCTCTAAAGCCAGGTTTTAAACACTGAATCATCAAATGTAAAGATTTCAAAAGGCCCTGGAAATGACAAGCTGTTCTTCCTCTGTCCCCTTTATTTTAGGTTGCACAAAAGTTTATACAAAGTCGTCTCATCTGAAAGCTCACCTGAGGACTCATACGGGTAGGTAATTTTCTTGTTAATTCTGCGAGTTGTGTAAATAGTGTAAGTGGCATTCATCCTTTTAAAAGCCAATACGTGTTTGATCTCTTCTTTTCTTCTGTCAACTTTTATTTTTTTTTAATGGCCTACCTTTTCAGCAAGGGCTTGGCTCAAAAATTCAGTTCCCCAAGAAAGTCTGGTTCTGGGAAGGCTGGTGTTTCCTCAGTGAGACCTTCCCCCTGTCACCTCTCGTAGAATTAATGACCCTCAGAACATAAACAGCAGTGTTTACTAATGAATTTTAACACTTTAATGGCGATGCTATTCCTGTCTTGAAGGAAGGAAAAAAGTTCTCCTTGGTAAATCATCTTGTTTCAATAAAGTAAGGCCCTTTTAAGATAAACTTTTCCACTCACCATGTTAAGCACCAGTGCTTAGCACATTCTCTTCAGTTTCACCAGTGGCTTCAAATATTTTTGTGTTAGTTTTTTTTTTTTGCTGTGTCTGAAAAGTAGGCCTAAGGTCTGCAGAATATGAAATAGGATGATCAGGATGGAGAGTGGTACCTTAATTAAGCATTCCTCGCAAGCCGACCCCAAGCCTTGGTTTGAGAGGCCTGATCCATCCTTAGTCTTCCATTTCATTTTCATTTGCAGCATGGTTTTAAGTTCGGTCTCTAATTATATTTTGATGTGTTTCGTTAAATTCACAGCAATCCCTTGTAGGAACTATTAATTTTGAAGCCCTTGTATCAGAAACACTTTTACAATGAAATTCAGTAGCATGCTTTATTAGAGGGTTCCACATACCCATAATATTTTCAAGTGTCTGGATGGTTACTATTATAATTTTCTTAAAGAATAGCCCTAAAGGAAAAAACAGATATAAAAGTGACTGCATTTTCCCCCTCAATAAATACACCCCCCTTACCTAAAGTTCAAAGAATAAGTTTGCTAATAAAAGCGGTGACCTAGCAAAATGTATTATTCCATTATTGCCATGGAAACCAAAGTATTCAACAGTTCCTTTGAATGGGTTGTTGGATTAGTGTGAGAGGACTTGAGTCTCCCTAGGCTGGATGTTACTATGGAAATTGAGTTTTGATAAATGAAGTAGTTATCTCTAACCGCTGCATTAAAAGTAAAAGCCTTTGAACAGAGGTCAGGCTGAAGCAGAACCCTGTGAGAGCATGGTTGCAGACATTTTGTATGCGTGTTAGGGAGCGGCACTTGATAATCTGAATGCTAAACACTTCCTAAAATCCAAAGGGTAGATGCGGGCTTTCCTAGAACGGCTTTTATCTGTAGGAATGAAATCATCATTTGGGCATGAGGTTCGGTTTTGTTTTGTTTTTTTTTGTCGGCAGGTAAGCATGAATGAGCAGAATACTCTAACAGATGATTCAAACTCCAACCTAAAATCTCTATTCAGCTGACAGGTGCCAGAAGGGTCCATATAGAAAAATAGCAGAGCAACATACTAAAATACCCTTTTGTTAGACTAGCGTTGTTAGGGAAACATTGAACTTGGGTTTTTTTGAGCTTTTGATCGAGGAGAAACAGAAGTAGCTTAGAAATATTTGTGCTGTTGTTTCTCTCCTCCTCTCATCAGAAGTCCTTGAAACTGGAGATAGGAAAGAGGGAAGGCATTTTCGAGGTTAAAGTCCCTATAATAAAAGAAGTGTGCGATTGCATGGACCGATGTAATCAACCGCTTATTGCAGGCATGTTGTCAGGTTATATCTAAATAGCCTTTCCACCTTGTCAGGGTTTACTGCTCTGAATGCTTGTACCTGAGATCTGGAACTTGACCTGCTGGCAGAGAAATTTAATAGTGGGTAGTCTGAACAATGCCTGTACTAATAAAAAAAAAAAAAGGCAGACTAAGACGGAGGATCTAGGCCTAGTTAGGGTCCCATGGAGGGGAGGGACTTTGTCACTCGATCGTAAATATTGTGGCCTTAAACATCTAATGAGTAAGGCCATGTAATGTAGTTTAATGAAGTTTTGTTTGATGGTCTTTCAGATGCCCTGGGGAGGGCTTGTAACAGACTGGCTCATCTGGCTAAACCCGTTCTTAGGTAATCATGGTGCACTAAGGCTTTCTCCTCATTTCTAGTTTCTAGACAATGCCTTTTAAAATTACCTGTGTGCTGGCTACCGTTGTCTCCTCTCTCTCTCTGCTCCTGCCCTGTGAATGTACAGGAAGCCAGGAGAGTCTTGTGGCTTGTTTCCTTCTCTCTTTTTTTTTCTTCAAATGCTCAAGTAGATGAAACAGTTTTTTGTTTTTTTGTTTTTCCTTTCTGAATAGTACTGCTGATTTAATGGTGTGTCCTGTTTTTCTTTCTGTCCCATTTCCTCCCACTTGGAAAACTTGTTAGGGGACTCTGAAAAACTACATGCCAATATTGACTGTATTTGATATAAAAGAAATGCTTTTCTAATGATTGCAGGCAGAACATGAAGCACCCCAGCATTTCTGTGGAAAGTAATTGTAGTTGATTTTTTTTTAAAAAATGTCAACTTACCATATGCCTCAATTGACTTAAGCAATTAAAACAACCTTCATCTGTGTTATGTTTAATGACTTATTTCTGGGGTTTTTCGATAGTAAGTGACTCTTTAACACTTGAGTGAGTGTTACAGAGTGACAGAGTTACAGAGTGAGTCTAACCAAGTACCCTGTCATCTGTACAGCTAACTCATTCTTCCTAAGCTGGGACAAAAGAGTAATACACCAGTCTGCTTTTTCTAAGTTCACGGACTTGGATTTCTTTATAGGGAACACGTACAAAAACCCTTAAGCTCTTCTATGTCTGGTCAGACCTAGCTGTATCTGTATTTATCTGTATGTATGTAACCCAGCACACTTGGCTACATATAAGCTTCCTTTATGTGAGTGAGAGGGCGCTTGTGTATGTTATTTGTGATACGTGTGCACATTAACCTGCCTCTGTTTAGAAATAGTTAGGACTGCTTGTAGGCAACAGTGTCAATAAGTGGTCTGTTCCCAAATCGAATTATCTGTACTGTCGATAGCATTTGAAAGAACACGTCACTGGAAGTCTTATGGCTTGTGATGTTTGCAAAGGAAGGCACACATTGCCATCGATCTAAAACTTCCTATTAGTACCTTTCAAAAAGATACAACTCTGTCATCGTAAGTCACCGTGATTGATAAACTGTCTTCTGCTGTCAAAGAGAGCACTTTCTGCATTCTAGGCTACCTTAGCAGGGTTTGCTCCAGACAGACCCCTTCTCCATATTCCTTTATGAATATGTATAGCAATTTTCGGCCTTGGCTTTCTTTCTGGTCCAAGGTAGAGTTAGCTGTATAAAGAAGAAGTATTTAGGGGCAACACTCAAGAGTCTGCACATCTCGGCTGGCCAGGGGGTGAACAAGAAAATGGGTAGGTAGAAACTGTGCCCCAAATGAACATAAATCACAACAGCACAAAAACAACTCTTAAGTACTGTACTCAAGCATCCCTGATGAAGAGGGCCTGTAGTCTATCCTTCAGTGTGAAGAGTCTACCTTCACCCTTAACCTGCTGTAAGAACCAAATTATCCAGAGACCTTTATCTATGAGATGTCACCATGTGTACCTGTAAGTCCGTAATAATTAAACCTCTGTTTCAGTGTCTAAGTTTGACTTGGGCACTAAGCAAGCACCCTGCATACGAATGTTGAGTCAGGTCTTTGCTGAGAGCTCATCTTTCCATTGGCTTTATCAAAAACAGCTTTGATAATGCTCCCTTCTGAGATGTTTTGAGGACAGGCATTTCTCCGCTGAAAAAGAACATTCAAACTAATCTGTGGAGAAGGGGTGAAAGGAGACCCATGAAGGATTTCATTTCAGGCCTTAATGGATGATGCCACTCATTGGATCTAGAATCTACCGGTTAGCTGCATAACCTGTTGTATCAGAATAACCATCCCATAAGGAAAATACTTTGTACATATAGAATCTAGTGACTTTTTTATATCTAAAAATATTGCATTGAAAAGCATCACCATTCAGGAATTGGTGAAATGAATTACTGTTCTTTCAGTATTGGCTTTCACTTGTAGGTTTGAAATTTATTTATTTTTTTTTACTTTGACTTTCAGGCACTTTTTTTTTCTTTTAAAGTAGTGTCTTAAGTGACTTGTTAGTTTAGACTCCAGGAAAAGTATTTATGAACATGAAAGCTTAGACAAAATTTCTTTTTAATGACTCACTGGTGAGAGAGACTAACCTTTGCTTCGGGGAGTCCTTCCATCAGAAAAACATTTACATAGGAAATTGATCAAACATTGTTTCAAGATGATAAAGCTTATCAAAGGTTAAGAAGGATAATTTAATTCCGCAGACATTTCTGATCGGTTTCATGAAGAATCCAAAGAATTAATCTCGTCTTACCCTTTAGTTTTTAAGCTCGCGGGAGGAGACAGCTCCCACGTAGATGAAACAGAATCGCTGGAATTGAGCTCGAAGCAATCATCCATGTGGTGTGGAAAGCAGTATTTAAAAATATATATTTTAATTACCCGGGAATTTTCCCTTGCTAGGTATTTTTAGTTCTATCTATCTGATGGCTTACATCTTTTCTGGTGAAAAAGATTAGAAACAAAGTCATGTCCTACAAGAGGGGAAGTTACTCCTTGTCTGCCTATGACAATTCGTATTGCTGGAATTAAACTAGCAGGCCTGTTTAAAGACCAGGTAATGCATTAGAAGCATACAGTGGCAGGCTTTTGCTTAAACACATCTGCATAGAATGAGTTTCCCTTTAGCTGTTGATAAAGAGGCAGATCAGCTGCTGGGCTGGGAGGGGAGCCAGGTGAAGTCTGGGTAAAGGGAAGGGTATCACCAGACAACCAAGTGGAAGTAGCATCTTTCTGTCAGGGGCTTCGAATTGGTGATTTATTTCCACTGTTAGTGCTTGCCGAGGCTGAGAATTATCCAAGAATAGGAGCAAGGGACCACTCCACCTGTCCCTTCAGCCTCCACAGCAGAGGCACGTCCTTCTATTCTACTC